GCAGGAGGAAGCACACGGCAGGGAACGCAACTCTCCAACACTCCAGAAAGGGTCCAACGTGAAGACTCATCAGGCGGCTAGAGGGTGAATTTTAAAAAAGTTGCAAACAGGGAGGGGGGTAGGTTTTGCTTTTTTTGAATGGACAATACTTTAATGCACCGTGACGCACAACCCATGCATTGTGGTACGTTCTGACGCAGGTGCGTTTACCTTGTACCATAACAGCGAGTTGGGGCGTCATTCTAAACAAATGGCACAACGTACAGCGTTGGCAAGCACGGCAGGCCATACGTTTTACCGCGCGTCAAAGCAACACAAATTTATGAAAACTATTGTGTGGCCCTCTGGACATGCTGAGCCCTCTATGCTGCCCATTACTCTCATACACTGCTCATATTATGTATATGATATACATATCTTCCCCCATCCCCATATAAATACACTCTCTCCACACACTCATACCGAGCCCCTTCCGTACTACAGCCGGGAGCGCCTCATTGTTTGGGCGGCAGGTTTGAACTGAGGCCCGCCCCGGTCGCCTCATTACCGTCTGCTGTGTACCGTTCGGTACCGCAAAACTTACCTCACGCAGAGCCGCTCAGACAGGGACCCGCCGAAGCACAGGCAGGAAGCTCATTGGGCAAAAGGCAGGTCACGTGACCGCGCTGACCTATGACGGCCGGGCAGGGGAGAGTGGGCGGGCGATTCAAATCTATTTAGGTTGTCCTAGAGCTCTCAGCTGAGTGAGCTGTGTGTATGTGTGTTTACTGTCAGAGGCGTACAAAGGGGAGGGGCTGCCAGCTATGTGAGAATACAACGATGGGGGACATTTATCAATAAAGTCTCAGTCATCGCGCTGTATTATGTGTATCTGTCATTGGAAAGCAACAGATTTATCACAATATATAGTCAAAAAGTCCAGTGCATTCCCAAACGGCAGGGGTAGGCGGCCTCTGAGCTCCAGCTGTGGTAAAACTACAAATCCCATAATGCTTTGCCTCTGGGAGTCATACCGGTGGCTGTCAGAGTCTTGCAATGCCTCATGGGATTTGTAGTTCACGCAATAGCTGGAGTGCTGCCACTGAGGACGGGGCCTGGGCCGAATGTCACACTGTTTGGTGGCGAATAAAATGTAATGAGGGCAATTTATCAAAACTGGAGCAGGCAGAATCTGCAGCCGTTGCCCATGGCAACCAATAAGCTTATAGCTTTCATTTTGAAAGCTTAACAGAACAAACTGTAAGGGGAAGCTGATTGGTTGCCACGGGCAACTGCAAAATATTCTGCCTGCTCCAGTTTTGATAAATTCCCCCTCTTCTTTTGTGTTTTGTCGTGTTTTTATTATTATCGATGTGCATTGTTTACATCCCAACCCCAGGGCTCTATGGCAGTGCGGCCATTATGGGGCTGGAAGAAGTAAACAATGAACTACGAGCGCGGTGACGTCACCCATATCCACGAGTCCCTCTGCCGTGCTGGGACTTGTCTTTCCAGTAACAGATCCCTATGAATGGACTACGAGCGTGGTGACGTCACCCATACCTACAAGTCCCTCTGCCGTGCTGGGACTTGTCTTTCCAGTAACAGATCCCTATGAATGGACTACGAGCGTATCCACGAGTCCCTCTGCCGTGCTGGTACCTGTCTTTCCAGTCACAGATCCCTATGAATGGACTACGAGCGCGGTGACGTCACCCATACCTACAAGTCCCTCTGTCATAGTGGGACTTGTCTTTCCAGTAACAGATCCCTTGTCACAAGTGACGAGGGAGCATGGAGCCGGCTTCCCGGCCAATCAAGAAGCCGGGCAGCCTGTAATGACGCGCTGCCCGGCCTCTGATACAGGAAGTATCGGGCTAGGCTCCGGAGCATTTGGGCTCATTATCCTGCTGAAAGAGGCCACTGCCATAAGGGAATACCGTCTCCATGAAGGGGTGTACTTGGTCAGCAACAACGTTTAGGTTGGTTGGTGGCACGTGTCAAAGTAATAACAACCATATGAATGGCAGGACCCGAGGTTTCCCAGCAGAACATTGCCCAAAGCATCACACTGCCTCCGCCGGCTTGTCTTCTTCCCATAATATATCCCCCCCACTTCAATGTGTCAATGTAACCAGATTATCAATGTTATTCACTTCACCTCACAGTGGTTTGGCTGATCGGTGTATGTTTCCCTACAAACATCCTTTCCTGCCAACAATACCCAGGGTTCTCAAGTCTCCCTGATGTTCAGGGAGTCTCCCTCTAATAGATAGCGGCTCCCTGATGTCCGCGAAAGAGGCATTTTCTCCCTGAAAGGTTTAATCTGAGTAAACCTTTCCAGTAAGATATCAGTGGGTAAGGTTTCAGAGTGAGGCTTGCCTCCTTATCATTTTATGGTATTAATCAATATTATTGTATTATTGGTATATGGATTTTATTTTACTGTGTGTATGTATTTGTGTGTGTATATGTGTGTGTATATGTGTGTGTATATATATATATTTATTATTATTATTATTTCTTTATTTTCTGACGACGGCCGCTGTAAAAAAACCCAGAAAGGGCACCTCCCTGAAATGAGACGGGCGCCTCCCTGAAATAAGGATTTGCAGGTTAGGATGTCTGAATACCCATTGTATAGCCTTCACCTATATACATATATATATACCCATATTTTGCATATTCTTGCACTTTCAGTAGTTCCAGAGGTCAGGCTGGTAGCTGGCTGTCTGTGCAAGCAGAGGCAGCAAGCATGCCTCTTGTGTCAGCTTCCATCCCAACTGGCAGCCATTGATGTTTAGAGGACTAAGTTTTCTAAAACTCCAGAGATCCAGATCAGGTGCTCAGTGCATTGAGGCTGGTCATAGACACAAGAAGTGTTCATGATGTGGAGCAATGCTTGCAATTAGCAGGTTGTTTCTTAAAGGAGAACTATGGGGGTCAGTGTTTTTCCCCATAGTTCTCCTTAGCGTAACGGGAGGACACAAACTAGCGTCCTACCCTATCCCGTGGACGTTGGGATCCGCCCAGCTGCGTGAGTGACAGCTGGCTCTGCCTATCTAGATGCAGAGCCAGCTGTACCCGCCCCCTCCACTGTCCGTTCCGCCAGTCAGCGCTGGCAGATCGGAGAGGGGAATTCAGCCACTCCCCCTGTCACGGCAGAGAGCCGTGACAGGATCGAGAGGTGAGCGAACAAGGTATGTGTTCGCTCACCTCCCGATCTACTGAGCCGACCTGTGACAGTCTCATTGTCACAGGTCGGCTAGAACTATGAGGTGAGTGGAAATCACTCATCTCATAGTTCTCCTTTAATGGCAAGAGGACATGGGCTCTGCTACTAACTACTAGCTGAGGGAACCTCCTCAGCAGCAACAGTTGAAGGTCCTACTCCTTGTGAGCCACTCTTCTGATGATGCGCCCAAGGAAGTTGCCTCCTGCCTCTTTAAAGAGAGAACATCTCTTTAAAGCTAAACTCCGGGATGGTTAAAAAAACCTACCCTTGCAGTGTGGCCCCCCACAATTCAAGGGTTCAGTGCTCCAACGTTCTCCTCTTCTCTCCAAAGCTCCGGGTTGTAGGCGAGTCCTCGCTGTCCTCACCTTCATTGTACTTGATGACATCAGCGTGTGACCTCTAGCCTGAGTGCTTTAGAGAAGAGGCTTTGGAGGTCAGGCACCACAGAGGGAAGAATTCTGTTGGACCAAGAACTAAGGTAAGTATTACAGCTTATGCCTCTACCCTTGGACTTAATGAGCATTTACCCGTGCAGTGTGGGAGGATGTCCACTGAGAGAGTAATGTTTTTCTGCCCAGATTGGGGCTTTAACTTTTATTGCCAAAACATGGCTCAACCAGCCATTACATTTTTATAGGTTGTCCTAACCCCTTCACTGTAATGTTTGTTGGCTTGGTCTTGGTCTACTTGTAACTGTGAAGGAACATATCAATTAAGTTATATGAAGTACAATAAGAATGCGCTCAACATTATCATAACATGTGTTAGCTGCATACATTCATCAGAATACAATATTTTTTATGCTACTGGTTCTTTAAATGAAATGACAGACTTCTTGAAGGTTTTTCATTTTTATTTATGTTCTGTGCCGTCACATGCCGACATTTCAATTGTAGTTCATGATATATAAAATTAGTCATGGTAAGTTATTTTACTGTACATGTGCGCCCAATGGTCAGATGAAGGATTGCATTGTCTTAGTGGGATAATGGCCAATAACAACTCCCCGAGGAGGTCTCATCAATCTATAATATCGATGCTGTGGCACTATCCATTTCAACTGAAAACGTCCCCTGGTGGGCCCTCTTTTAATTGCATATGCATGTTGCGGCCTCATTTTATTCTTATGGGAGGACCACATTCTGCTGGGCCACTGGAGGCCCTATTGATTACGGATGTCCATAGGAATGAACGGGGCCATGGCACACGTGCACAGTAAGGAGGATCTCGGCAGGGACATTTTCAGGGGAAAGACTGTACCGTTCCAGTTAGGGCCCACAATAAATTTCACTGAGATTGGGAGAAAGATTGCAGTTGTTGGGGGGAGGGGGTATTCATTAAAAGACAACTGTTCTAAAGGCACAGTTGTCAGAGTAGCTCATATGGACCAAAATAGGGTAAGCTCATCATTGTTGTTGATATTTTCTTTTGTTTTAGACCTTGTCAGCCAGATATTTGCAGATAATGGACCATTGCACCTACCTATATGGCCAAAAGATGTGGACACCTCATCTCGAGTTCAGTTGTCTCCAGTGAAGGGTAATGTTAACACTACAGCATACAAAGAAATTGTAGACAATTGTGCTCTTCCAACCTCATTTTGGGGAAGGGCCTTCTCTGTTCCACCCTGGTTTACAAAGCCAGCTCCTTAAAGACATGGTGTGACCAGTTGAGTGTGGAGGAACTCTAGTGTCCTGCACAGAGCCCTGACCTCAACCCTACTGAACACCCATGGTATGAGTTGGAATGCTGATAATGACTCTTCTCATCCAACATCAGTACCCAACCACACAAATGGGCACAAATTTATACAGACACCCCCCAAAGTCTTGCAGAAAGCCTTCCCAGAAGAATGGAGGATGTTATAGCCACAAATAGAAGCAACTTTATATTAATGACTATGATTTTGGAATGGGAGGTCAAACCAGTTCCTATAGGTATGATGGTCAGGTGTCCACAAACATTTGGCCATATAGTGTAAAGCAGGGGTGCCCATTAGGTCGATTGCGATCTACCAGTCATTCACAAAGCTAGGTAGATCGCTGGTCGACTCCCTGTCTTGCGCTCCATCCCGCTGTGTTCGTGCGCCCGAATGTGTCGGCCAATAAACTTTCCCTCCCGCACGCAGAGACATAAGGCCTGCTCCTCCCTTTCTTCAACGTCCTACACATTTGCCTTTCCCCTCCCCGCCCGCAGCTTTGAACACCTCTGACTCACTCCTCCCAGTCTACAGGATCAGGCACATTGGGACCACACCTTCCCACATTCAATGTCGAGTACACCAGTGCGCCTGAAGAGCCAGAAGGTTCTGGAAGCAGGCAGGTTCTATGGGCAACTTACAGGTTGAGTGGGAGCTGGCAGTATGGGGCTAACAAAAACATTTCTATGGTTAAATGGCTGAGCAGTTTAGATCTCTAAGGGCCGGTTCGCACCACAAATAGTGGTCAGACTCTGGAACGCACTGTATCACACTCCGGCCGGTTCCCTGCGTTCAGGGGCAGGAGGGGGTGTGGTGGTTCATTTAAGTCAATGGAACCACAATAACGCCTCCCTCCGCTATCATCCGCACACGAACGCATGCCACATTAGTGCCTGCCAACGGTCCAGAGCGACCTGAAAAAATGCTGCAAGCATAACAACATTGAAAAAAAGTGAAGGGGGTCTGAATGCTTTCTGAATCCACTGTAAATGTATTGTGCTGTGGGCATTTTGAGTTCATTGTTAATGTTGAACATCTGTATTCATATTCTTAGATTTATTCAATAGGAAGATACATGCAGTAGTGCCAGGAAGCATTGTAATGTGTTTGGTAGATCTTAACACCAAAAATTGTAGGCACCCCTGGTGTAAAGACTTGGTGTGGAGGAACTCGAGTGTCCTGCACAGAGCCCTGACCTAAACCCAACTGAACACCTTTGGGATGACTTGGAATGCTGATTGTGAGCAAGATCTTCTCATCCAACATCAGAACCTGACCAAACCTGAACCTGACCCAAAATCCCCCAGACACACTCCAAAATCTTGTGGACATCCTTCACAGGAGAGTGGGGGGTGTTATAGCCGAAAAGGTCATCCAACCTCATATTTTTGGGCATAGTTTCATGGTTTGGCAATGGGCTGTCCAACAAGTAGACATGTGCGTTTCTTTTCGTTCTGAATCAAAATTCGTAAGAATTTTGCACATTCAGACACATCAGAATTTTCGGACTCCCAATGTGTCCGAATCCGAATTTCGATTTACAAATTTCGGATCCCGTCCGAATTTTGTTCAAAAACAAAACTGAATCGCACACGTGACTTTTCTGGCCAATCAGATGTGTTTTTCGGTTTAACGCATCCAAATGGGTCTAAAGATGAATTTTCATTACGGCAGCATGGGCTATATGCAGTATATACATATAATTCTAAAGTTGAGGCTCCCAGACCCAAATAGCATATGGGATCCAAATTTCCGAATTGAATTCGGGTTTGGGAGCCTCAGCTTTAGTAAAATATGTATATGGTTCACAGACCCGAATGGCATTCAGGAGCTCCCGATTGCAATTTGGAAATTTGGATCCTGAATTCCATTCGGGTCTGGGAGCCATATTCATATATTTCTAAAGCTGAGGCTCCCAGACCTGACTAGACCCAAATGGCATTCGGGAGCTCCTGAATGCAATTCGCAAATTCGGATCCCAAATTCCATGCGGGTCTGGGAACCATACACATATATTACTAAAGCTGAGGCTCCCAGACCCGAATGGCCATCGGGATCCGAATTTGCGAATTGCATTCGGGAGCCCCCGAATGCCATTCGGGTCTGATCAGGTCTGGGAACCTCAGCTTTAGAAATATATGTACAGTATATGGCTCACAGACCCGAATAGCATTCGGGAGCTCTCCACTGCAATTCAGAAATTCGGATCCTGAATTCCATTCGGCTCTGGGAGCCAAATACATATATTTCTAAAGCTGAGGCTCCCAGACCCGAATGGCATTCGGGAGCTCCCCGAATGCAATTTGCTAATTCGGATCCCGAATTCCATTTAGGTCTAGGAGATTCAGCTTCAGTATCAACCTCTAGATAGTTTTATGTTGTAGTCGTCACGAATATACGTTCGTAAACTCATCCGAAACTAATGCGACTAATGAAATTCGGATTTCGTCTGAATCCGAAACCCGAACCCAATTCTGAAATAACGAAATATATCCGAACTAGGGATGCACCGATTCCAGTATCGGTATCGGTGCCGATACCGAGTATTTGGGTGAGTACTCGTACTCGCCCAAATGCTCCGATACCTAGCACGAGTACTTCCTGTATCAGGAAACGGCTCCATGCTCTCTCGTCACTTGTGATGAGAGAGCATGGAGCCGACTTCCCGGCCAATCAGGAAGCCGGGTAGCGTGCAATGACGAGCTGCCCGGCTTCCCGATTGGTCAGGAAGCTAGCAAATCCGGAAGCCGCACGCCATGTAATGACGCAGCGCCCGGGATTCTGATTGGCCGGGAAGCCGGCGTCATGCTCCCTCCTCATCTCATGAATCATAATATTAAGAAAGTGACCTTAAAGCATTAGTTTGTATTGCTTTAGAAAAAATGTGACCTGTCCCTTTAAGAAAAAGTATCGGTAATTGGTATCTGCGAGTACTTGATCAAAAGTATCGGTACTTGTACTCGGTCTTAAAAAAGTGGTATCGGTGCATCCCTAATCCAAACCAAATTTTGCTCACATGTCTACCAACAAGCTCATATCGGTGGGATGGTTGGGTATCCACAAACATTTGGCCATATATAATTTATTTCATGCTAAAAGGAAGGAGCGGCCACATCAATAATACATATCTATAACCCTGTGTATGGAGATGGCTATGAATATATATATCTATATATCTATAGATATCTATATCTATAGATATAGATATCTATATAGATCTATATAGATATCTATATAGATCTATATATATACACATACATATACACACACACATACACACTCAATGTATATAAATATTAAAATAAATTGTATAAATTAAAAATGTGTACTATAAGGGTTGGTTGCAGATATGTTGGATGCCCAATCTTTTTTCCCAGAGACTTTGCTGAGGTATTTGCCATATAAATAATTTAGATATTGCTCTCTGTCCACAAGTACACATGCAATGATGCTAAAAATATGTACTTTAAAAAAAAAAGTATTACACCTGCATTTCTACAGGCCTGTGAATGCTCATAGCAGTTAAGAATGTTAATCAACACTGAGGAATCCTTGGCCAACATTTTAAGACACCTTCAACTTGCTGTCTTGAGAGTTGGCGCCATTGCCTCTATGTAATGCTTTTCCTTCGTGAGGTTCCTCTTCCGGCTGACGTGCCACGAGCAACCGGCAAGTGAGCAGAATGCCGAAGACCAGAGCGTGTGCGTAACGTTTTAGGGGATCTCCGACCAGCTGGTGGAAGAACAGGACGATGAGTACCAGGAGCAGGAGGATGAAGTTGGCCACATCTCTAGGCCGCCCCGGGACCAAAGTGAGGACAATCCCACAAGCCAGCTCTAAGGATCCGATGGTCTTTCGCATAAGCACCGAAGAGATGCCGAGTTTCTTGAGTCCCGGTAGGGCCTTTATATAACTCTTATATGCCCGCCTCTAGAGGAAAAAAAAAAAAGAGAGAGGAAAGCTGAGCCATAATTAAAGTATAAGTAAATCCAACCAACAAAATCTCAAATAAGCTTCAACGTGTACTGGCACTTGGTCCAGCATATGGTTGGGTGTGCGTCAAAGTACATGCACGCTCTATGGCTTGTTGTCCATATAGCATTGGCCTCTTTAAAGTGTATGTATAGTCAAAAACTAAATCTGTATTTCTATATTGAATTTCTATAAGTATTATCCCACTCCTAATAACCATATTCATCTAGAAGTCTGTAAACTTACTTAGTGAAGATGTAGATGTCTAGAGGATGGACTTCCTCAATGCACTGACACGATCTCACTCAGCCCTGTGAATACGCACCTCCTTTGTATCACCACTCTCCCAGAATCTGCCTTCTGAACTTCAACTCAGCATCTGAGCAATGTAACATTATCATTGCTTGCTGAAAGTAATGCATGATGGGATATGTAGAAATGCAGATGGCATCACCTCAAGCGGCAGGGAAAAAGCCCACTGGGATTCCAGGACGTTGTTGGAAGTGATGGGCAGACAGGAGGCAGCGCTCACTACATAAAAGGGATTTTTTTGCAAGCTGTGATCGCATTATCAAAAACATGTCTAGTATGTATTCCTATTACAATGCTGATGCCATAACAGGAGAGGATATGCCGGGACTTCCACCAGTGGTGGAACTATCACCATAGTGACCCAGGCTGCTGCTATGGGGCCCGGCCAGGACGGGGAACAAAGGGGTCCCCCTGATGCCGTGCAGGCCGCCTGGGTTGCTATAGCATCGCAGGCTGCTGGCTGTCACTGGCGGCTGTGAAGAGGAACACGCCGCTGTCCAGATCACTGACAACCTGTGCGCGTTCCTCCTCACAGCCGCTGCTGAGTCAGTGACAGCCAGCAGCTGCAGAGGAGGAGGAGGCTGGGCCAGGCGTCAGCAGCGGAGGAGGAGGCCGGGTCTGCCAGCGACCGTGGAGGAGGAGGCCGGGTCTGCCAGCAACTGTGGAGGAGGAGGCGGGGGCCCGGCGGTGGAGAAGGCTGACAGGTAAGAGGTGTTCGGGGGTGTGACCAGCCCACCGGAGACCCTGCAGAGCCCACCATATAAAGTATATGGTGGGCTCTGCAGGGTCAGTCTCAGTTGGGCTGTGTGGGATCTCAGGTGGGCTCTGCAAGGGGCGTAACTAGAAATCACAGGGCCCCATACAAAATTTTGCTATATGGCCATGTGATTTCTAGTTACCCCACTGGACTTTACAACTCCTTTAAGGCTTAGTCTTAGCTGAGGTCAGTGTTGAGGGGTCTCCAAGTGTTCCTGCAACCTGTCCTTGTTGTTGCTTGTGTACGACCGACCTGGCTTGCTGTACCAGATTACCTTTATGCTGCTCGACCTTGCACTCTGCTCCTCGGTTACTCATTTTTGGATTCCTCCTGACTCCACCTGCCTACTGACTCTGTACCTTGCTGCCTGTTTACCTGTTAAAGACCTCGGCTTGATGCTGACCCTACAGCTGTCTCCTAGCAAGTTTTGCTCTGCCTGCCAGATTGTGACTCCGGCCCCGGCCTGTGGCTACTGTCTTGTTGACACTTATACCATCTTGGTGCCCGAGTATCCTTTGTAAAGCCAACCAGGGGCACTTCGACTGGAGGTGCACGAGAAGCTGTCCTTGTCATCTCAGTGGCCACCATCTACCGGACATAAATTCAGCGGTGAGAAAACATGGCCCCATGTACTCTCTGCGTGTGCTGACTTATCTTTTTACATTATTCTCGTCTATCTAGGAGGACGACAAATCATTCAGAGAAGAAGGGAAGAGAGGTAGGTGTTCTGTAGTCCTGCTCTTGGGCTGACAACGCTGCTGAAGGAGTTAACCGTCTAGGGTGATAACGCTGTTCGCCCTTAAAGTACAGCGAGTGGGCGTTGTCACCCGCGGACAGGAAGTGTGTTACTGGCAAGATCACCAGCTGAAAACAAAGGCGAAAAAAAAACAAAAAGCATGAAAAGGTAAACTAATGCAGCCGCCATATCTAAGGACTGGCGAGCTGCAATATATTAGATGTTTGTTTTTGGGTTTAGACCCCCCTTAAATATGACATTTTTATAGAATTATACACACCAGACTAAAGAAAAGGGTCAATTGATGAGGTAATTGATGAATTTGCACTCATTCATACAACAAATCTCCAACAAGTCCAATTCGATGGATCAATACGCTCCACGGCACTCGATATCAAGTTTAGGCAACCTGGGCACTCCAGCTGTGGTGAAGCTACAAATCCCATCATGCTACTGCCTATACTGCCTACAGGAGTCAGGCCAGTGGCTGTCAGGGCCTTGCAATGCCTCATGGGACTTGTAGTCCCCCACCAGCTGTCGTGC